TATCAAAAATAATTAGAGCTAGGAATACAGGAACTGTGATTATGAAACAAATGGTAAATCTATTTGCTCAGACGAAATGTATCGAAAGATATATCTAGACACAGCTGGAGACTGAGGTGATACCGCAAGGATAACAACTCGAGATCCAATTTCATCTTTCATGATTAAAAAATGAGCAAGAAAGTGTTTTATGAAATGTGAAGGTTAACAAATGTTCCTTCACAAGCAATGACGACAGTTTATCTTTTGAAACAAATGATCAGGCTGTGGTCTGCTAGCAGCTCCTGAAACACATCTGAAAGATTTCTTCTAAAAACCCACCGAGGACCAGCGTACGCGCCCGGCAGCCCACTGCACCGCCACCACCTCCAACAAAGCGGGCTGCAAAGCAACGCCAGTGCCGATGCGGCGGGGCGGGGGCCAGCCCCCCGCCCGTCCCAGCGCTCTGCCCCACGCCAGTGGCAAAAGTCCAGAAGTTCATCCCTGTCCCCGATCCCTGAAGCGGCCGCAGCTGCTCCGGTACGGCATAGCCGCTCTTCACCGACAACCGTGGCGCAGGGGCTCTTGGCCCAAAAGACAGCTGCCTGCCGGAGCGGTGGCACAAGCAGGGGCGCAGACCTGCCAAGTGCTGAACTTCTAAGCTGCCCAAAGTATTCCAGGAGTCCTTTCTGTCTATAGGTAAGCACCTATAGATTGATGCCTCCACAGTGATGAGGCTCAGCAGGAGCCGGGTGCTGGGTGGTGGTGGTTGGGTCTCGCAGCCCCGGGCAGGAACAAGCCTGCTGCATGCTCGTAGATAGAGGCTGCGCAAGGGGAGGGGAAAGCACATCTCACCAGGTAATGAGGCACGTATTCCCAAACTACACACTCTGCTCACAGGCAAAGTCAAAGAAATATTGGTCTATAAAGAGATTATGAAACACCAATTTTTCTCCTGGTCATTACACAGCACTATTCCTTTTGGACATCAGATATAAAAGATGCATGTATTTACATTTATGGGCGCAGAATCAATTTAGCTTTTAACTTTTCACGTGATGGTTGACCTACTAAATACCAGGGCAATATCACCCTGTTCTTATTCAACAGCATATGGAGGAAGTGGCCAACAATAAATTCCTTTGACTGTCCTCCAGATGAAGTACTGTCTTTATGGTGCGAGACAATGTGAAGTATGAAAACTTATTTTTAGGAATGAATTCTGCTAAAATTTGACTAGTAGAACAAATACCATGAGTTGTTTAACAAGGAAGAAAAAAGATGTGGATAGAGGCTCTAAAACTATTAAAGTGAAGGAATTATATAATGATGGGAATGGGTAATTCTTCAAGAAGAAAAATTGAAATTACCAGGAGTGCACAGACAGTAGAGAAGATGGTGATGGCAAGTTTAGAACCATAGAATAGTTTGGGTTGGAAGGGACCTTTAAAGGTAATCTCGCCCAACCCCTCTGCAGTGAGCAGGGACATCTTCAACTAGATCAGGTTGCTCAGAGCCCCGTCCAGCCTGACCTTGAACGTTTCCAGGGATGGGTCATCTACCACCTCCCTGGGCAGTGTGCCAGTGTGTCACCACCCTCACTGTGAAAAATTTCTTCCTCATATCTACTATTAAACCATTACCCCTGTCCTACCAAGTTCCTATTTAGTTCCTTCTATTAATAGAACTAATAGTTAAAATTGAGAAAGAAAGAAATACTATGTATAGAAGGCAACAGAAGATGATTCAAAGTAAAAAAATTGCTTTATACTTCCATAAAATACGGGACTGCATAGCAATGCCCTTATTCCTATCCTAGGACCCTGAAAGGGTTCCTTAGCCTCAGGAGAGCAGAACCCACGAGTTCAGCAGAAGCCCTCAAAAAATAGTATAAACCCAAATGTACTTATTAGCAAGAACACAAAACATCATAGCTGTAAAGCTGGCTAAACAGCTGAGTGTTGGTTAACAACTGTGTTACGGAATTAACATTATTCCTTCCTACCCAATTCTTGGTCAAATTTCCTGGGATATGACAGTTATATCGTTCTTCCCAACAAAAAACAAGTAAGAAATATTTCTAGTGATTAAAGCTGCTATAATGGACTAAACTCAGATATAGGGGAAAAATATTTAAGGTAGGAAGTAACACCCCCCCCAAAATGAGCTAGTAGCACAATGCATGCATACATAGCCGTCAGCCGAGGAGGTTAGGGCTGGCCAGGGGTCTAGAGGAGATTGTGCAGCCAGCTGAAGTGGTCGGTACCCGGCTGCAATAATGGTAGATGCCCCCCATTTTTACTCACCATACCTACAATTTCTTTAGCACAGGGACGTCTGGCCCAGTTTTACCAGGCCCCATAAGCCTTCCCTGCACAATTTAACCATGCTGCACAAATAGCAACAGACTCCCGCCCTTGGCGGGCCGGGGATTACTGTAGTGCAACAAATGGAGGCAGAGGGGCTACGAGACCCCTTTCAGGCACAGAACAAATTTGTTTCAGAGACCACGCTTAACTGCTGCTGTGACAGAAGCTGCATGGACCTGATCAAACGCTAGCTCCCATTGTTGTCTTTCATGTTTCATGTCATGAATTGCCCTCTCTTCTCAAAGATGGGACGTGGGCCGTTTCCTGGGGTCTGCAACTCCTGGCTTCTTTCCCATCTCTAGCACAGGCTTCTGGTGTGCCCCAGAAAGTCGCGCTATCTGGGGACCAGTGAGAAGATCACAGATTAAGCTTTTCCACCTCAAAGCAGCATTCTCTGGATAAACCAAGGAAAGAAAGAAATGCTCTACAACTGCAGTGATAAAAAGGTTCTCCTAAGTTTAACAGCATCAACGCTGCTCTCCTTCGGCACTTTAACGTGTCTGATTTGATGTCGCACATTATTTTTGTAACGAAGCTACAACAAACCAAAATCAAGATGGTGCTCATTAAATGGACAACACATGGAGGAGCTCATAGGACTCAAAAAGCAAATGTAAATGGAAACCATCACCCAGCTGAATATTTGTACTAGGGTCCTGTAATACACAGGATAACACTGAATATCTATCAGGTCAGATTTAAAAAACAAACCAAAACACAACACTGTTAAAGTCTAGAGAAGTGATAAATAATGAAGACTAGGATGACTGATGGAGAGACCTGGATTGCTTGGCAAGCTGGGTGCGAACAAGGTAAGATAAAGTATAAACAAGATAAAGTATAAAGAAACACTCCAGAAACTAATACAGCCTATGCTTTCTGGAAGGAAGGCTATTCCTGGAAGAAGCTCTCTTGAGAGGCTTTGGGGTCCTTGTTATTAGTACCTAGCATGACCAAATTGTGACACTATAATGAAAAGATATTACACAATCCTCAACAAGGGAAGATCAAGAGCTATTACATTCTTCATTGACCCATCAGAATTATGTCCACAACACAGCAAGAGTACAGATGAACTTCAGGAGGGTCAGTGAAGAATCAAAATGCTAATTTGGGTTTAGAAATCTGTGTGTTTAAGAATGTTCTGGAGCTCAGTTTTTTCAACTTAGCGCAGACAGGGTTAAGGATACTTCCAGAGCAAGTGACTTGTGGTATTAATAAATACTCAGACTTAAGACAAGGTACAAGAATTTTTTGGCGATAGTGAAGACAGTTAACTCTTTCTTCATCGCACTCTATTCCAAAGGCTGCTTATCTTGCCTTTCCCCCTTCAGATATGTTCCACCCAAGCTCCTCTTACCCAAGCTCCTCCTCACTTACGTTTTGGGTGTGGATCCCACCTAACCCTGTGTGGACCTGCGACTGCTGCCTGTGTGGCGGAATTTCAGATGAGACATTTCATGAGTGCTCTGGAGAGTTTCAGCTCAAACAGGAGCAAAAATCCTCCTGTGGGCAGGATGTTCATGTATACTGCCCGGCTGAAAGGCGAGGTGGCAGCTCCCATACAGCGACTAATAGACTTATTTCTTCTATTTGGCTCAGTGCTTAATCTCTCATCTTTAGAAGGAGAAACTTGTTTGTTTAAGTTTACTAAGAAAATATTTACTAAAGATTTTCACAAGTATGTTTTACATTGAAACCTATGAAGCATCTGATCATAGAGACTAATCTAGCCCGCCTCTGGACACCACAAGCTTAGACAGCATTTTACCTCCCTATCTTAAAACAGTGTGTTGTTTTTGTTTGCTTCAGATGTGTTTGCTCATTGGGGTTGCACAGGAAATGCTACCAGTGCTTTAGGAAAAAAAAGAACACACACACATTAGCTGGAGATCAAGTACATTCTTCCAAAGGAAAAACAATGCAAAACTCAGAGTGTTTTGCAGTGTGACCCTCATAAGAATGTCTGCATTAGGCCTGCTGTCTTCTCAAAATTCATTTGGGTTTATATAAAGTATTTTATACAAAACTCCCATACACACCAGGCAAAAAGAATCCCCTGTGTTGTTATGTATTGCAGACACATACTGACAGGGTAGTTCTAACTCAGAGTTAGTGATGGTCTCTGCAGGCTTCCTCATGAAGAAAAATTTTTTGAAGTTGATCTGTAATTTTGGAGTGTTTTGCTCTGTTTACTTAGAGAAGAGACAAGAGCCCCTTGGGAGAAACCTTACCCAATATAAGCACTAGAAGTCTATCTAAAAGCTATCACTGAAAAAGAAAAGGTAAAGGTTTGCCCAGGTCTCAGTCAATATGCAGGAGTATAACATCAAAGATATGCAAGAAGAATTAACAGTCTTTTCCTAATTTTCTCGGCAATCACTGAATGTTCTTGATGGTTCACAATAACAAAGAGTTAAGTCATGCCCTCCTCCTTCTACCTTGACCTAAAAATAGGATTCTACCTCCCTGACTACAAAATACGTTAAGTGCAAATAAAAAACCAGGCTTAGACAGAGGAAGGAACTCCAACCTCTTCTGGGCAAGGCTGACCATGCACAAGTACATGTTTTCATAGCAGAGGTTTAGAAAGACAAACAGCTGGCAGCACACCGACAGGCTGTGGGAAGCGCCTACAGTATGTTCCTCTATTTACCTCAGGTAATCTCTGCGGCAAAGAATGAGATTTGCTTTTGTGTAAAGAGTTGATCCAACCTCTCCAAGACGACAGTCACAGCAGGCACACTTTAGACAGTCTTCATGCCAATACTTATCCAGAGCCTTCAGCAGGTACCGGTCCTTGATTTTCCGGTTGCAGCCAGCACAGCCCTTCTGCTTCCCTTTGGGTTGTACAGATAACATCGGCACACCTGCAACACAAATACAGCATTTCATTTAGAAAATAGCGAACAGCTTGAATAGGTTTCCTGCATTCGGGGTAGCACTGTGAGCTATAGGTAGATCTGTGAGCAAATACTGCTGTAGTTTCATTACAAGCAGTACGCATCGCAAGAAGCTGCCGGTCAAAGGAACTTAAACTTCATGTGGTGTCACGGGGTAAGTGGGAGTGACACACCTGCAGGCGCACAGCCCTTTTTTCCTAAGGGTAGAACTGACACAAAGCACCAGACTTTTTTTTAATTAACATCTTACACCAGACTAAACTGGCTGCAATGTCAACATTTGCTTTTTCGCTCATTACCAGCACCCTTGTGTTGTTAATTACCTGCCACAGGCAATTACGAAGATCAGAAGGGCCACCACCGTATGTACCCCCAGTCCAACATGTTGGTTGGATCAAACTTGATGGGGAAAGGAGAGGAGCGGGTATAAAGAGACGTGGTATGCCACTGGTTTTCCTCTTTTGTGAACCCTGCAGGTCAGAGCGGCCTCAGCGAAAGCTACAGCAGCCATGGGGCTGCTCTAAAAGAAATGTTGTTCAAAAGCCCCCCAGGACTGCTGAGAATAACCCAACCTGTGCCCCTCGGCCCCTAGTGAAGCCACACTCCTTAAGCAGAGCTTTCCTTCTCTTATACTGCGGTAATAAAAAACCCCACGATGTTTTTCCTCCCTGGAAGCCCCTGCTGGGAGGGCGAAGCAAGCATGAGCTAGCTGGGTGTGAGGTGGTGACAGGACACTCAAGTCAGGAGGCTGGTGGAGTCTTGCTGTGGCCACCTTCCTCCCGCTGCTGTCTCCAGCTTTTGCCTCTCCTCCAAGCAGCTAGTGCCTCCCATGGCAAGCACCGACACGGGCGAGAGACCTGTCACCCTTCTCAGTTTAAGAGGGAGGCAGGGGAGGCTTTTATGGAATCAACAGGCAAGGTGGAAAAATAAACAAGGATTGTACTGTGGGGGAGGAAGGGGACAGCACATGATGAAAGAAGAAACAAACTCACTGAAATGCCAGAATCCCGTTTTCTCTAGAGCCTTGATTTCACTTTTGTTACTGATTTTTATTTTTACTAGTGTCAATCAGTAAAAATGTCAACGCTGGGCCTGTAACGAGCATGCCGTGGGCTCAACCGACCCAGAGAAGATGAGAGAGGACGCTGGCTGCAGTGCCACTGGTTACACACTCTTCGACAAAGTTAAGCCACTGCTTCTGTAGGAAGCTCCAGATGTCCCAGAAAGTAGCAGCTTGATAAGGGAATTCTTAGCAGTCCCTTAACTGGGGAGGACCGAGTCAGTGCCACCGCAATACGTGACATTTGCTGCTTTCCTTAAAAGCCAGGGTGACCTGACGGTGGCTAATGCTCAGCACATGTAAAACCCACCACTCCTACGGTAATAATTGCTTTGTCAGAGCTGCAAGCAGACGACAATAGCACTTAAGACACCTCTACACAAACAGCGAGGTATTGATCCATTTGTTATCAAAGTGGTCTCAGCAGCGCGGAGACAGGTCAAGTAACATCAAAAACTCTCAAGGCTTAAAGAGCCCTCCTGCTCTTTGCTGTGGCACACTCACAATCCGCTTGCAAAGTTGATACAAGCAAACTTTTGATGCCAGTGACAAATATGCAATAATTAAGTGAAACCTTCAATCTGTGTTTGCCAGCCACATACGCAACCGGTAATGCTCCTACATACACAGCCACAGAGAAACACCCGCACGCTTGGAAAGAGAGAAAAGACAGGGAAGGGTCAGAAATGTAATATAGTGCAGGTGCTGGAGGTCAAACTGCAGAAGTCCTGTGCTCCTGGTGAGAGTTTCTTACGAGATCGAGGGAAGCATCCCTCCGGTTCTGGAGACGGCACTTTTTTTTTTTTTTTTTTTGGTAAAATACATTTCAGGAGAAAAGAGAAGTTTCACTTTTCAAGTAATTTCTTTTTCAGAAAACGGAAAGCCTTCATCCTATGCTCTCTCCAACTCCATGCAAGGGAAACAGCACACCTTGAGAAGAGACCGCCTTGTTCTGAGGCGGAGAAGGGCCACACATGAATTTGCATTTGCAAACTGTGGCAGATCGGTACCAGTGATGAAAGAAAATAGTTTGCACCTATGAAAACTAAGGCCTAGATGTGCAAATTGCATTTTAAGATAGGAGCCCTAGACACCAAGTGAGTCATTACCCACCCCCAGACGGGCTCTCTAAATGAGCTGTGTACCCTTAGAGGCAGAAGAGGATTTCTTATGGGGGTGTGGGGGGGTCATCATACAGTTCTTTTGCAAGGTCCGTCTGGGTAACTCGAAGATCTGGGCATCTGCCTAGAACGCAGATTCTAGATAACCAAAGCCCCTTAGAGAACTGCTGCACGGGTGGGGTTTGAGCTCATCTCTGTCCTTCAGAAATACAAGCTCTTCAGCCAGACAGGACTCCTTAAGGCCCTTCAGCGCTTTTGAAACCAGTGCCCTTTCCAGCTACAGCTCTCCTCACCCAGAGCGAGGGGACCGCTGCAACAGCAGCGTGGCCAAGCGCCAGTGCAGCTGTGCAGGGACAAAACCCTGGCTGGACCATTAGGAGAGGTTGGTTTGATCAGTAAGGGCGGGTTGGCAGGTGAGGAGGGTCTCCTGAGGTGGCAAGCAGGCCCGGACAGCGATGGGTTGGCTGTAGTCGTGGCTCTTGTTCCACCTCTGGCCCTGGCAGCCCTCACTCCTGCCGCCATCTCGGCTCCCTGCTTCGCAAGCACACCGTTGTCTTAGGAGAGGCTGCGGTGAATACGGGGAGCGTAACACTTTTGACTTTCTTCTAGTAACTAGCAAAGGAACATATATATATATTTAAACAGTACCTTAAGCAAGGAAAAAAAGCTATGTATTTGGTCAGTGTTCAGCAGAGGGCCT